GATTGTTGAACAAGTACATGAGTATTTTACCTTTTTTGCAGACAACACTAAGACAAAAGATCCCGATTTATTTCTTGAAAGCATGTGAAACTCGGAGTGCTTAGCGGCAAGATAAATGAAATAACAACCTTGAGCTTGCTTTGCACTCATTGGCTAGATGAGCTGCAGCAACACTTGATGCTCACTGGAAAACTGGAACATGACATTTTTGGACACATATGCTCTTACACACAAAGCAGAAGCTCACCATAATGTCTCATTTATAAAGTGACCTCGGTTTTCTTTTATATGGTAACCTAGAGAAAAATCAGGCACTTTCAGATGCCAAACATCATTATTTTTGGGTGCAAATAATGATGTATTTTAAGCCAAGCTACATAAAAATTAGAAATTTTAAGAATAAGAAAAAGTCAGGAGAAGTATGTTGCAAATGGGTTGGCAGGAGTACATTTGGTAACTGCAAATCTTCCACCTAAATTGGGAAAGTTAGAAACTCTGTAAAATTTTAAAACAGTTATCTCACCCAATCAAATTCAGTCCTGATACAAAGGGAGGGATGCCAAATAGTCCCAAGGTGGTCGTATTAATATCTAAGTACCTGAATTTTTTATGCAAAAAGTGAAACGCATGAACATTAAAAAACAAAACGAAAATATTATGAAGAAAACAAATTTTTTTAGAAGATATATTATTATATACAAGCTGTTTGTGAAATTAAAAACATTTTAATGATCACTTCTACAACAGTGAGAATCTATATGTGCATGGAAAGATCATAGAACCCTTGAACTGTGATATATTTGATTTTGATATTATGATGTTATGACTGCATCAAAGAGGATATTTAAACACATCTTCTTCTTCAAAACACATGTGTACCCCAAGTTTTAAAACTAAAAAGTCATCAAAGAGAAATATCCTAAAATAAAAGTTGTTACAGAAGAAACACTATTGATTATTACCTCTTCTTACCAAGTAGAAACAGGCTTAAATAAATAATTTACTATGGTAAACAAGATGAATGAGGTGTTTGAAGAATTCAGCAGTTTTATGCCAAATATTAAGAAATGTACTTCAATACATCAAGCACAGCCATCACATTAATTATAAATGAACTATTGTGCAATTAAAATATGTGATTTTATTTTTGAAAACATTTACATTTGTAAGTTAAATAATAACAATTATAAAAAAATAATAAAACATAAATCTAATATCCTTTTCTTCTATGGAAACCTTTGTTCATATTCTTAGTCTGATTCTTATCTTTAGATTCATTTATGTGCAACTATATGTACTCTGTTTTATGCCGTATATTGTACAGAAAAAAAAAAAAAAAAGGCTTATGGGGGAAGGGAAAGAAAAAGAAAAAAAAACAACATTCTTTTAAAAGGGGTCAATGCAAGAAAAAGGTTGGGAATCTGTGTTCTAGATAAAGTTTAAGACTAAATAAGGCGATGCTGTTAAGTTTAAGACTAAAACGATAGGAAATTCTAATAAGAAGGCATGTTATTTGTTTAAAATAATAAGCACATGATCTTTCTTCAATTAAACAATTTATCTAATCTATTCATCTAATCATACCTATTTTTTTTTTTTTTTTTTGACAAAGTACAGTTTCACAAAAAGTATTTCTTCCTCAATGTAACTATTTGTTTAAGCTTATGTATTCTTCACTTTTAATAAAAAAATGGTTACAGTTTCACAGAAAATAGACTAACTATGCTTTATCTCTTGCTAAGATATAGCTTTATTTTACTCTCTTCATTTAGAGAATGTGATAGAAATGCAATATTAACAAGGTATGACTGAAATGTCCGGTGAATAATCACAAAAATCTGACAATGTAAAATATTCGAACAGATATACCTCACCATTCTTTAAAGTAATCCCCCTCTAATACCATGCACTTCTGATAATCTATATATATATATAAGCGGCTTAAGTGTTTGTCGCTGATAGCTTATTGGTTACTTGCGTAACTGTAAATTCTTTTATTCCCCGTGCAGTGCTGCACGTGACGAATATTATGAGAAAGCCAAGCCAGAAAAATTAAAAATACAAGAGCACGCACATTTAACATTCAATATATAAATTTAACATCTGTTTGTTGCCGATAGTTTTTTGGTTGCTTGCATAACTGTAAATTCTTTTATTCCCCGTGCAGTGCAGCACGTGACGAATATTATAAGAAAGCTAAGCAGGAAAAATCAAAAATACAAGAGCATGTGCATTTAACATTTAATAAATAAATTTAACGTCTATATATAACACAATTCGAAAGTATGCAACCGGCAAAAACCAGCAACGATGAAAAACAAATAAAATGAAATAAATATCTTTATTATATGCGGCTTAAGTGTCTGTTTGTCGCCGATAGTTTATTGGTTGCTTGCATAACTGTACTAGCCAATGGGGTGAAATTGCCACAGCACAGGGTTGCCGTTTCAATTGAGACATACATAATTTCCTGTAAAACTTGCCTTTGCTATGACCATCAATAAGTCTCAAGGCCAAACGCTTAAGCGTGTTGGCATTTTTTTACCGGAGCCTGCATTTGGACATGGTCAACTTTATGTTTTCTGATCAAGAGTTCATGAAAGAACGGACTTAAAATTAAAAATAATGGATCGTCCTCTGCAAGGCGAGCTTAAAAATGATGGAAAGATCTACACAAGAAATGTTGTGTACAAAGAGATCTTTGACATGTGAATTTCACATTTTATTATTTAAATCACCTTTATTTATTGAGCTAGTGGTGGCTCTTAAAAAATGTACTACCAATGGTTTCCTTCATTGCCCTCTACTTTAAGAAATTAAGCAAGTAAAAGGGGAAAACCCTGTGGGGCAGTAAGCAAAGGGGCGTCCTCGCCACTTGTGCTGGATAATTCAGTTTGAATTAGCAGACATCTTTGCACAAATCATTTTAATTACAATTTATAATATCTAAAACAGCGGTCATTTCGTATAAGCGTGGGGCTTTCTAGTATTCATATTACAGTAGAAAACAGCTAATGAAGTCCTCTGTCAACAGTGCTTTTAGTTCCCTGGATACAGCAGCTTGGATATGAGAAACACAAGAAAATCTATGCCCTTTCAATGTAGATTTCGGTTTTGGGAAAGGAAGATGTCATGCACTGTCTTGTAAAAAGGTAAAAGAAACTAAGATTTCAGTTCAGTAAATTGTGGCCATACATGATGCATAATCAATTTCTAGCATCCAAAATATAAATTACAGACTTATTATTTCATAGTCTGGGGGAGCAGGTACATTAAATGAATTTAATGCATAAGAATTTCTGTAAACATGAAATAAAATTCTTGAAGTAATTTTCACTGCTTATATACATATATGTATGTAATGTTGATGTAGACTTACATGTATTGATGAAAAAATATTGATTGCCTTGAGATCCACAATGAAGAAAAATGTGGCAGCTGAGGCAGATTAAATATTCATTTTTTATTCCAACTGAAAATTGTAGCCACCATTTGGTTGACACTAATTGTGTTTATTTCCAGAATATTTATATTTTTGATAAAGTTGTAATAGGAAGATAGCAGAAAGTGGCAGCCTACAGATGCTGATTAGCCAAAGCAAAGTGTATGGATATCCAATATGGAAGCTGGTTAAGAGAAAGTTTTGGTTGTTGAAATTTGTGAGTTTCAAGTTCCAAATTAGTTACATCTGCATCGTTATGTAAAAGTCATATGATTGATTAATATAGAAATGACGTAGTCCAGAAAAAGTTATTACGATTTTCAGAATACAGAGGGGAAGCACCTAAATTAAAATGAAGAATAAAGGGGCTCTTGCTAATTTAAATCATAATTTTGATTTACATATTTTTTTTTTATCTTACATGTATTATATTGCCTATAGTAACAATTGACTTACTTTATTTACCTTCAATTTTTGTTCGAACTGTTTTGGAATATAGAAGCGAGATTTTTCTATTCACGCTTATTAATAATAAATCTAGATTTATTTACTTTAATTATTAAATTAAAAACAGTGTTTTTCCATATGCACCTGCCAAGCATTTTGGCATAAGTGTGCATAATGGAAAAAACTGTGTATATGCATAAGAGAAAATTACCACATGTAGGTGTGTGTGCGCCATCTATAAATTATTCTTATAAATAGAAAATATTTCTAATTAAAAAAACACATCAAAATTGATGGCAGGGGCATAATGGAAAAGTATCTTAAAAATATGTATTTCCTGCTTCATGAAATGCAGATAGTCAGAAAAATGAAGTTAATGTATGCTTCCCCCTTCATCATGTATCAATAAGACACAGTCACAGAGGCTTGATAATATGCACAACATGAACAAGCTTCTTGAAAGCTAGGATTTATTTTATCAATATGCTTCATTTAATACATATGCTTTTAATTATTATTATTAAATACTTTATTAAATATTTGCTTGGTGAACACAAAGTAATATTTATAGTACAATGGACTATTTAGTATAATTAAATATAGTATATGAAAGTGTATAAACTATAAAAATAATGAAACAAATTTTAGCATAAAATAGATTACATGCTATAAAACACATTGTAATAATAAGATTAATTAATTTTATACAGCAATAACAGAAACCATTTAAAATTTTAAGCAGAATAACAGTGTTTAACAGCTTTTCAAACTAAAAATACCTTTTTATGCTGATCATCAGCATTGCCATACTAAAACTGCTTATAGTATAGCATGGTGAAGATCAGTATATAAAAGTATTCTTCTGAAAGGGACTGAAAACAGAATAAAAAGTATAATGTACTAAATATAATATTTTATAATATTTCATGATAATCTTTAAAATTATTACTCAAAAGGTAATACAAATAAGTAGCTAACAGTGATATGAAAATTACAAATAAAGTTAATTACTGTATAGGTGAAAGAGGTTATATTAAAGAAAAAATAAGTATTATCCTGTCAGCCATTGGTGGAAATTTTGGCAATGATTGCCAATCGCCTATTTGGAATTCTAAAGGAAGTGGTTATCCATCATTTACAATAAATCACGTTATCTGATTACTCAACAGGATAATATACAAGTACTGAAAAAATAATAAATGTAAGTAATTACTTTCATGCAGCAATGCTAAAAGTGGAAAGCAGAATTCATCTTTAAAATGCCTTGATAGTTTCTTTATGTTTTGAAAAAGGTCAAAAGGTTCTGCAATTAAAAAATTACAACTTGAAATATACTAATAATAAAATTATTCTGAACATACACATACAGTTAGCACAAGTTTTAGGGAAGAATAACTGCACACAGAATAAACTAAAAACATTAATATTATTACTAGTGATCCAAACAATTGCACATTCATGTGCTGATCTTGTGTTATAAAAAACCATTGAAAGTATCTTTATATTGAAACATCAATATATATGTATGTATATATATAAATAAGAAATAAAACAGAAAGCAAACTACCAATTTTAACCAGTTCATAGTTTGCCCCGAGAAAGACTCATTCACAGAAAAATGCATCTTCATCCATTAGTAATGACACTCTTTCAACAATGTGGACTGGACCACGATTCTGAGATACATTCATCGCATCTTATTTTTCCCACTACCCAGAATGAGTCGAAAATGAAAAGAGGTGATTGATGGGTTGTTTGGTCTCATTTATCTCCACAGTGGTGTTGCATTAGGATCACAACGGGCTGTATCAGGAAGTAAAGGATGGGGGTTCACTTTGTCAAGTGGATACTCCCAACACATCTCACGATTTTAAATGATATCTTTTCAATTCCTAACAATTTCCCGAGGATATAATCTGTATAGTATTCTCTGTACTATGAATTGCATTGAAATGTTATACTTAATACATGCATTTTATTTTATCACCTTACCCACAGATGGAAATATTATTCGCTTTAAATTTCCTTATCACAATCAATTATGGATGACATTGTTGAACTGAAATTTTTGAAGTCACATTTTATTTTTCAAAACTTGAATTATTAAATAATATTTTACTTTTTTAATAGATATATTCCTAATTTTTTTTTTTTTTTTTTTTTTTTTAATCTCATTGACTAAGAAAGCTACATCATTAAAAGTCTCAAAATTTTAAAAGAAATAACAGTAATATATGAAATTTGGATTGCTCTATTGTTTCTTTTAGTTCCTTCCTAAATGAATAATTATATTTTGCGCAAAACATTTTTGACAATATGTACATTTTTTTATTTCTGTATACTTGAAAAGAGGACCCATAAAAACAAGCTTGTTTGAAAGACGTTATCTTATGCTTTTCCAATTCTGTCAATACTTCAATGAAAATAATTGACTAATTGGAGTAGCCAGTACTTTGGCTTTATTATGATTACAACTGTGATTTTTTTCTTCCTTTTATTTTCAAATGAGGGATTAAGTGGATTAAAAATATGTATGAACCTTAAGCTTTTAAACAACAAAGAGACAATATAAACAGTGAATGGTATTATAGTAACCCCCCTTCACAGAAGTCGCCAAACTGATTTATGGACATTAGTATAGTTAAAAAAGTATTATTTATTTTACATATTTTTATAAATGTTTTTTTTAAAATGTATAATTTTTTATACAATTAAAGTTTATATTAAGATAAGTAGAATAATGCTTATAATAATATACTACATTAATACAATTCATTACTATGTATACATTTTTCTTGCCATGTATGAAGCAAATTTATCAATTACTTCATCAAAGTCGATTCTTTCAAATTTTTCTCTTTTCACATTTAAAAAGGCTAGATGACTTAGGGGATCTTGTCCACCATCGTTGATTGTAAATATGTCAAAATTTATTTTAATTTGCTGAACGAATGTTCACGGGTCACATTTGATAATGAAATACCTGGAGTATTTGAAGTGCTACTCTTAGGTTTGGAAAAAAATTTTCTCTATAGATCTGTGATGGAGTTTTAGGTTCAATTCCGTTTTTACTGCGGAGTAACAACTTGCAGTCACATTCACTGCTCAAAACAATTAGGGGATATTGTGGGGTCGGTATAAAATAACCATATAATCAACAACCTTTTAAACAAAAGGAAATAGAAGATATTATAAAGGAAAATTATAACGTTTGCAAAGTTTGGAATATGCAAATTTAGTCTGTGACGTCCAAAACTATATGTTTTAGATAAGGAGTAAGGAGCGACCTGCAGCATTCCTTTTGTAATAGGAGATTAAAAACAACTGCCACGCGTTGAATGCTTGGTAGCAGTGAATATACGATGTCTCAACAAGATGACTTATTTGAATCGGTAGCCAGGAAGGCCATCAGTCGTTTACAGGAGAGTCAAACGCAATCCATAGAAGCGATAGTGTTAGAAATTTTCCAAAATGTCATTTCCAGACTATGGAATCGGTTTCTGGAAAGTGGATATGTTTGAGAAATTCGAGACAATGTCATGTTATTGTTATAAAAAAACGAGAGCTATACGTGCATTTCGTTTTTAAAAAATAAAAATATATCTCTATTTTAGAGAAATAAAGTGGTCAGAAAGAATGTTTTGTATGCACAGATACTTGGTTGATGTACTCCAAACATTTTATCAGACAAATCAGGAAAATAATTAATTAATTATATTACAATAATTTTTAATTTTAAATATATTTTCCAGAAATCGATCAAAATAAAAACTGAAATTTTCCAGAAAATCTCGTTTGGAAAACATTTGTTGCCCCTTTGCGAGCAGCACCCGGGGCATCATACACCCCCTTGCCCCCCCCTCCATCGCTACACCACTGCCGTGGTCTGCCCACCATCTCACGGCACTTTTCTAAGGTGGGATTACGCTCACAGATGCCTTTAAGGTGTTTGCCTTTGACCCCACAACATCGGAGGAGTATATGGAGTGGTGTCGCAGCCGATCATCATGGCTGCCATCAGAAGTGGCATCATAGCGTTCAGAGACTAAATACCCACCTCACTCTTGTAGCAGATGACCACCGTGTTCGTGTCTGGAGAGGATGGGACCAGCGGACCCAATCATAATAACCAGTCATAACCCCTGGTGTGATGGTGTGGGGTGCTATTTCTTATGACAGCAGGTCATCTTTAGTCATCCTCTGTACATCTTTAACAGCTCAATGATATGTTGATACCATCCTGCGGCTGTCTGCATTACCCTTCATGGCACATCATCCTGGGACCATTTTCTACCAAGGTAATGTCAGGCCACATACCACTCGCATATCTCTGGACTATCTCCGTGCGGTTGATACTCTTCCTTGGCCAGCAAGGTCACCTGACCTTTCACCAATCGAGCAGGTCTGGGGCATGGTAGGCCGCCAGAATCGAGCACCACAAAATATCACAGATCTGGAGCGACAACTGATGAATGCCTGGCTGAATGTGTTGCAGGATGACATTAGGAACCTCTACTACACCTTACCTCGACGAATTCAAGCATGCATTGCCGCCAGAGGCAGTTTGACCAACTACTAATTTGAACATTTAATGGGTGATAGTCGCCGTGAACAGGTACTATGACCTTGATCTTTTAATCATTTTTTTTATCTGCGTATGAGTTATACATATATTTAATTTCATCAAAAACAACCACTTTCTTCATGATGCTTTTGCAAAAGAGTGTATGTGCTAACGCGATTTGCCTGCAAACAAAGAAAATTCTGAGAAATTTTTTCAGGAATATAATATTTTGCCACAAAAGTGGGAATGTTCAGATTTGCATTTGGTGATGTTTTATTTTGGAAAATAACCTTTCTGAAAATGCAATATGAAAAAATAAATAAATAAAATAATGAACACGTCAGCATTCAAAGTGGTTTACTGGAGTAAAGAATTAACAAATGTTAAACTTTGCTTGGAAGAGTTAGAAATGGCTGGTAAGACTGTGGCAGACAGACTTATTAAATGCCATGTTATATTAATTACATGCAGGAAGTATGCCTGAACAAAAAAATATTTGCAAGTGGTTTCATAAATTGTTTTCCAGGATAAATATCGAACTAAAATTAAAATATGTACCTAATAACATGCATAATTATGAAATAAATAACTTTCTCTGATTTGAGATTACCATTCTTTTTCTTCAAAAAATTAGCAAACTGTGCCAAGGTGGTTGTAATAATACCAAAGTACCCTGTAAATATTTTGCTATAAATTCTACAAGAGACCAAAATATTCATGAGGTTCAATAAAGAATACAAACAATGCATCCCATTAAACACAAGATATATATTATTATTGCAATGTGTATCGAGAATGCGTGCCAGTTTCCATTAGAAAATATTCCACAAAATCGTCTCTCCTCTCAAGCAATCTCTTGTATACCATGTCACAGTTAGTAGCTTACTACAACCTCATGATAAATATAATATAAATAAAGAATTTCTACATTGATTTTGATTTCTTAGTTTTACTGTTCGAATGAAGAATTTCAATTTCACTTTGAGTACTCACTTTCTTTGCATGTTATTTTACTATTTTAATTACTTTTACAAAATAAAGGAAGTATTGTAATTGCATGGATTCAGAAGAATTTTTTTTCATAAGGTCTCTACATACGTACGTATTTCAAATAACTCAAAAAAAAGATTATACTATGAACTTTGAATTCTGTATATGGGACTGCTATAACATTTAATTGTTCATCACCATTTTTTACTGCAATTGGCCATACCACATGTATAACTCAGCTAACATATATACCAGGCTTAAAAGTCCTTAACCTGTCTTTATGTTTGCAACCAGTAGTCGTAGTAACATACTTCAAATTACAGAAGTGTTTTAAATGACAAAAATATTCTTGTTTTGACAATGTGAAATTTAGAAAAAACAAAATTTTTCACAAATAACAAAATCTAACTTAACGTCATCTCCCAGTTCCTATTCTTACATCTAGGAAAGTTTTATACTCATTATGAAAAAATAAATTATAAGTAGTTTTTTTCCAACAAATAACGAAATCTAACTTTTAGTGCAATCTCTCACTTAAATTTGGGAAATCGTTATACTTGTTATGGAAAAAAAAAGTTTGACTCTCATAAGACTAATATTGACCAGGATTTTTAGTCTGAAAAGTTGCAACTTTTGGTGACATTCTCAACTAGCTTTAAGGGATTGGTTGGTTAGAATAATTCCATCAAATACATTTAATTCAAGTGCAGCAAAAAATATGTATAGTTTAATAGGCCATACTATGTATGCCAACACTTAATACGACATCAGGAATTCTAAATATATGCTGCTCCGCAGCTGTTAAAATTTTTAAAATTTTGTTGCCATATTATATACGGTGTAAATGGAAAGAAAATTCTGTTTAATAATTAAGCTAAAAAGGCAAAAAAAAGAAGGATTTAGTAGGAATAAGAGCAGCAGCAGACTGGTAGACTGTGAACTCAGCGAGACCATAAAAAAACTTAACAAACCCTTTTAGGTGACCATCAAAATCTGAGTGAAAAATAAGTGCAATTAAACAATAATTAAAAATAAAACAGAATAACTAAAAGAAATCTGAAACCTTTTAGATTTCTTTTATTTATTCTGTTTTATTTTTAATTATTATTTAAGTGCATTTATTTTTCACTTTCACATTTATTCTCAATGAGCATTTATTCCGAGAATAATTTGATATAAATTTTATACTACGCATATACCTCAAAAATGTAAAGGAAAGCGACTTTATTAATTAAAAATTTCTTCATTATGGGTCTTTATTTAATAAATTTATGCTTTTTGTATTTATCAATGATTAATCAAATATGGTTATGAATATTTAACTTTCTTAAACCTTTTCATTCTCCGAACATATCTATTTTCCTGCAATCTTGGCTACTAGGATATAGGTCTAAGATACTGCTGCTTTTCTTGCAGCAATCTCAGAAAGGGAGAATTAAGTGAGCTACCATACCACCCAGTGATTTTTTTCTTTTATTTTGTTGTTCACAGTTTGTATACGTTTGTGCATATAAAAAGGCGAATTTTCAACAAATAAGATCCTCACTTATCAATTATCCAATATGATACGAGTTTCTGAAACAATTCACAGCACACCCTTTTTTTCTTTAGTTTTCAAAATTTAAACTTACACTAAAATTCTACTTTGCTTTACCAGTTGCTTTTAATATTTTTCTTTTCAACTTGCGAGTCACATACTTTTAATTACCAAAGTGTTTTAAATAACAAAAAATTATTCATATTTTGACTATGTGAATCTTTTTTTTTAAATGAATTTTTTACACATGATGAAATCAAGCTTTTAATGTGATCTCCCGATTCCTATTCTTATTAAGTTACAATAACATGCCGAACAAATATTAATTTAGAAGTCAAACAACAAAAATCAGTGTTATATTTTAAAATTTTCACATGACCAGTTTCGATGGTTTTACCAAACAATCATCCTCAGCTGCAAAAGCGGGGAAAAGGGGGGGGAATTAGCATTAAATTTGAAAATATAATGCTGATTTTTGCTGTTTGACTTCTAAATCCTATTCTTATATTCACATAATTACAACTTTCTTTGTTGCAGAAAAAGTACAATTAGCTTGTAGGGTTTATCCTAAGTTTTCAACAGTTATTTTTAAGTTAAGGCTCCTTTCCTAGCTTGCAATTTCCTACCAGAATGTATTTTTAGAATCATATTCAATGCAAATGAGTAAGAGTAGTATTTAAGACGAAGTTTCACTGACTTCGAGAGAGAGAGACTCAGAGTTTCTAACTAGCATGCGTTTGCCTTTTGGTCACATCTCTCTAAGCTGTTACTATGCTCAGCCATATTACGGGCCCTTGATAGCTTCGCTACATAATTCAATACTTAGGGAGCAACTAGGTAGATTTGTGTTACCTTTGGCTCAATCTCTTTAGTTAAGCATTAGTAAAATTCTTACTTCTTACATTTTTAAGCCCAAGTGGAGGCTTTGCTGTACGCCCTGAGAAAAGGGCTGACTGCATAATTTTATTTTTAGCAATAAAGAGGAATTAACCCTTCACCAGTTTTACATTTATATCTCTGGACTTAAGTGATCATTTGCTTAGCAGTTCACTAGGTTTCTCCACACTTAAGTTGTTAGATAAAAGGGAGGAACACCACAAGCTAAAAAAATTATAAAGGAAACAATTGTAATTTTAAACAGTAACCTTAAATACTAAGCTAAAGAAAGATTTGTTTTTCACATAAAGAAAATAAATTTTTAATTAAATAAATATGGAATAACTATATGGAAAATAATTTGATCATTATTTTTGTTACAGCGCACCAAGAAAATAAAACAAAATTCAAGGATATATTGCAATAGCTTTGGGGTTAGGTACAAGAAGCAAGGCCAAAGCGAAAAATATCTGCACTAAGCGATACACCAGTCTTTGTGTTTTATGGTCCTCATTAAGGGATCACTATTCAGTATCCTTGAGTGCAACAAGTATGCAGTTCAAATTAATTTGAATAGAGCTTCTAAATAGGTCTTCACAGCTGATGAACAGGGGGAAAAAATAGTGAGTACAGAAGGAGAAAAATAGTACAGAATGTTTGCGGTTTGCAGGATGGTGAACTGGACAATACGGCAATAGTTATATTCCTCATTTTAATTCGGTTACTACAGCTTCCTGTTGCAGAACTACAAACTGTTTATAATAGATGAATCATGCTATAATAGATTATCAAGTGCAGCATATCCAAATTAATGCCATATTATGTAATGCTCAGCACTGCGGCTATCTTTTATATAATCACACAAAATTTCAACAAAGAACAATACAGAACTACATCTCTCTCCCAGCTGCAGAATGCTTACTTACTTTTCTTTACTCTGCTAGTATATATCATTCACCTTTTTGTGTCGTCTATTGTCTAAAGATGTGATACAAAACTGTGGAGGCGACGACAACGTTTGAAGAATATTTGCATCCAGAATTTTAGTTGTCCAGTAATTAATTCTGTCTTGCCTTCAGCCACATTCGTTTGTGTCATCTTTGTAACTATGCTGAAAAGCCTTCACCAAATGGCTACTGTGTCATAATCTCCAATCCATTGTAGCTATCATCCAATTATCAAGATATTTAAAAATTATAATATTAGAGATTATTAGCCAGTATGCTTTTTACCTGCCTCGCGAGACTCCAATGCAAAAGTGTCTACAAATCCAACTAAAAAGCGAAATGAAATATGGCATTAAGACTGCAAATTAAGCTAATTCATTTTAGAGAGGAAAAGCATTCTTGAAATAATTTGATTCAGCATTATGGTCAGGATCACTGATCTGTGCTGTGTGAGAAATTTATTTGCTTCAAATTTTCAGTGTCGCCATTATGCTCAAACATTACATTCGTTATTCTTAAAATTTATATATCGCCAAGTAAAATGAATCAAATTGATCTTCAGCATGACAAATGAAAATTATACTGTGAACTCATTACATTTTGCATCTAAAATCAGTTCTGGAAAAAAGTGTGAAAAACATTGTGTCAGTTTAAAAGCATAATAATTCAGTATTTGTTTAAAAATAATTTTGGATTTATAAGTTCATTTATTTAATGTTATAATGTATTTGTAATGCTTTTAACAATATTTTTATATGCTCAAATTAATTTGCCATCACAATGAATATGAAATTTATTAATTTAATAAAATTTATGGAATTAATTTAATAAAATTTAATAATGAAATTTATGGAACAGAACAGTAAATTTAAACAATGTCAAGAGCTTGAAAAATGTCTTAAGAAAAATTTAAAATTCTTTGTAGGGATTTATATTAATTTTCTAACTAGTTAAATGTATTATGTTCTTTCCTATAAGCCTTCGTTCCCTAATTGTCAATGCCAGAATTTTTAGATATGATAGTGCACGTGAAGGAATGCAAATTCTACCTTGAGGAGAAAAGGTTTAGATACTGAGTTCTAGAAGGAAAATTTAGAGAGTTTGGGCAAGTGCTGTATCTCTGTAGCATGAGCTTCTGTTTCTGCAGTTAGCTAGTTCTGCTAGTTAGCAGTTCTGCTAGTTAACGAGGAGTAACAGCTGCCACTAGATTTTTGATGCGGTTTCAGATAGCAGGATTATCTGATCCCTGTCAAGTAATTCTACTACTTGTAAATATCTTCGAAGTTTTAGTTTAGTTCCTGTTACTTGAGTTACCACCCGAGTGACATATAGTGCGTTAGCATCAAGTCGATGCATTGTGAATTTTAAAGAGTTAATAAGGGGTTCTTTTTACCCTTCTCCTGTGTAGTTCCTATACATACTTCAGGTGTCTCATTAGAAGATAAACAAGTAGACCTTACATCTTCTCTCAGATTAGGATAAGTCTACTACAGAATTAAGTTTCACAGCACAGATAACAAAGAACTTCACGCAAATTAAATACTACAATTGATAATCAACTGCATATAAATTCACATGCAGAGGCATGCAATTATGAAGACACTTTTTGTAAATAAATAATTTTATAATGCACATATTTACCTTCATATGAAATTTAAGGATGATTTAAGAAATTAATAATAATAAAGCATATAAAGAAAACAAAAAAAACGTACTTGTAAAATCAATATCATTTTTGCCTTGGATATAAGAACCTATTTGTAGCTCAGTACTTGTGCTTCCATAATCTTTTGTGTTATCAATAGCCCCATGAACAACCAAAGTGGAATATAGAGGCACACATGTCATCCAACAAGATACATCAGGACATGTTTTGTGTGAATATTTTATTTTAAATACACCACTTGTTTTCCAGTTTTCTGGCATAGAATTTGAAGACACATAATCATCATTGCACTGAGATAATAATAATACAAAAAATATCAGTAAATAATGGCATATTATACATATTAGATGCTTAATACTTTAATTAAATTAATGTCTTAATAAACAGAAGTTACAAATAATTTTAATTCCACACAGAAACATAACAAGAATTTTGTCTATATGAACAAGGTCTTTTCCAATCAAATGTGATTTTCTTTAACCCCTTCATGACGGTATGTTGCTGAACAAACCCTCTGCAGATGGGTATGTCATATGCATCAGTCCCAAATGTCGTTAGCAACTGGGTGTTGCATTGGTGCAATACACCGTCCCCAAGGTGAGTTGCACTAACCGGCATGCCATCTCGCAAGAGGATTAGCTGCTGATGCATATATGATACACCCGTCTTGAATGGATTAACAGAAAATAATGAACTACAGAAAATATTTCATTTTTTTAGTAGAATGAAGTTGATTAAAAATATCTTAAATTTCATAATTTATGGCTTTATTTAAAATATTTAGTATTAAATATTATTAACAAAAATTGAATAAGGATGTCTGATACATTTCCTATTTTATGAGAAGGGTAATGAATTCCATACATTTATTTGATATACATAAAAATTCACCATGGCTATTTTAAATGAATTGAGAACTTTTTAGTATTAAAGTTCTCTAGTTTTCCTATATTTTTAATTTTCAGGCAATGAAGGCTGGATATTCTGACAACTCAGTTTACATCAATTGATGCAGAATATACCTCAATTTATATAAATATCAATTACAAATCATATTTTTAAGTTAAAAGCACTTAATCTGACTCGCAAATCTAATTCAGTACCTTCCAAGCTACAAAAGATATTTATGTTTTTAAACAATAATTATACTACTAATAATATTATTATACATGCTATTGTTTGAATATAGATAATGTGATCATGAGCATAAACATGCATGCGGAAGTTAGCTAAATTTATTTACAAAGTAAGATGGATGGATGCATCTGGACAGAAGGTATGTACCGAAGAAGACTAATTAATTTTGGCAAAGCACACTTCTTACTTGTGTAAAGGGAGGAATTCCCATGTGATACAAAAGGAATTGTTGGAGTTATTTGGGTAAAGCACAGAATCGCCCACTTCTTTGTTTGGTGCTTTTTACAAGAGTAAGAATTGGATTTTTGTCAATTTTCTTTGACTTTTTAAGTGAAAATAGGTTGATACATACATGGATAAAGGGAGCGCGCAATGCCATTTTTGTGCAAATCTGGGGTGTCTTTTTTAAGTGAAAATAGGTCGATGTATACATGGATACTGAGTATGTGCAATTCTTAAAAAAGCGCCAAGCAATGAATGATTCTGCACTTTCCTCGAGTTTTTATTAAAAAAAAGGGGTAGGAAGGAATACCTTAATGGAGAATTTTCTTTGTGAAAAAACTAACTTATCTGAATTTATATTACAAACAAAGAAAACCTGACGCAGTCAGCCTACTTTATCCCTGTGAATAAACAAAGACAAATTACGAGCATTTATTTAGTGGTTTTAATTCATACAGGAGGACTTTTTTATGCTTTTCCTATGAATATTACAGAAGCTAGTCGTCAAAAGACAGTCAACATTCTTTTTATAACTGAATGATAGAGGCAAGAGCTGTAAAAAAGGTCACCTTAATATCTTTTGCACTCCTGATTTACCTTTTGGATAAAAATTTTAGTTATGATGTAGTATGCAACCTTATTTCTTAGGTTACACCATTAGAATGCTATTTTTAAATCTGAGCCTGCAATAAAATAAAGGAAAAAGAAATGATTAAAAAAAGCGGTACTATTCGGTTTTGAGGGCCGTAAAAAATCACCAAACTATTGTTGATGTCAATGCTGCCAAAAATAATTGCGGCAAGAAAGGAAGTATAATAGTAAATAACTAAGATTGATGTTTTAATTTAGATGAAAAGTTAATTTCATATAATACTTTTTTATTATTATACTTTATATGAAAAAGGCTAAACATGACTGAGTGGAAGCATAAGAGTAAATAACTATTTCAGATCATTATTATAATTTATATAAAAATTGCTAAACATAACTGAATGGATGCCTGCATCGCTATTTCGCTACCAACTTATCGCTAAAGCATAATTTCATCTTGTTGGTTGTTCAAACGTAATTTTCTATAATGAATTATGCCTTTTCTTTGAAAATATTCTCGGTAAAGTGCAGAATCGCTCACTTATTTGTTTGCCGCTTTTTACAAGGGTAAAAACAATTGGATTTTTGTCAATTTTTTTTTTACTTTTTAAGTGAAAATAGCTCGATGTGTACATAGATAAAGTTAAGGATGTGCGCAGTGCCTTTTTTGTGCAATTCTAGGATTTTTTTTTAAGTGAAAATAGGTCGATGTGCACATGGATACAGAGTATGTGCAATTCTTAAAAACACGTCAAGCAGTGGGTGATTCTGCACTTTGCCCAAAATTCTATTGCCGACTTTTTGTCAAATTGTTACATCCATAGGATATCAAAAAAGGATTTAACAATTAAACTAGTATTTCAATGGAGTCTTAAGAAATCTAGAACTATATAAATTTACGCAATCTGAAATCAGCACGTATGCTAGATTTGGCGCTTTTGCGCGTACATTTTCGCTGCAATTTTTTTTACGGCCCTCAAAACCGAACAGTACCAAAAAAGCTTATTAATTTTAATTCATCAAACCTCTGATTAATTACTGCCATTTTATTCTTCCATTAATTAACACAATTATAATTACCCCCAACCCATTTCAGTTTAGCCATCTAAAAAATAACTAACTAAAAGCAACTACATCACTAACATTGTCTAGATCATACCTTATTGGGTCCTTACCACCTTGTCTTGAAGTTTTGATAGTATTTTTATGGATAACCAAGATTGAGTTATCCATAAAAAACAAGAGAATTTTTTTATTTTGTGGCTTAATACATGTAAAACTTTCAGTGCTTGTATTTGACTAATCTTATAGTGAAATACTTATATACTCACCTTAGGAACAAAATTAACTTCTAACATGAAGGCATGCAAGAGTACTGTTAATGCATCAGATACATTTTCAACATTTGCAGAATTGTATAGCTGACAGAAATCTTTTGGAAATGTGCATTCTTCATGAATAACATATTCTTCTGGTAAATGATTCATTAATCTGTTAGAGAAGAATATGATGATATAAGAAAAAATTAGACAAACACAAATTATATTAGCCAGATTTTAATGAGAGTTAAATATATTTCAAGTCAATTCAGAAATTCTATAAATATTGTAATTTTTCATAAATCACATACATGATTTCTATGTTTTAGTAAGGGTTTTATATAATAAATCAAAAGTTTTATTTTCTTAGTATGTTAATAAAGTTGAAGAATTATGCATATATGACAATATGTCATATATTATATATGGCAATATATGACAATACGTCATATGCAAAAAACGGATTCTTGACTTGCCCTTGGATCATGTTTGCTCCTTTGATCGACTGGTTTAATAGCTGGATTGGTAGGCAGCAGTTCCCAGGTTCAAATTTTGCTGATGTCTGCTAAAGTTCATATTTCAAGTAATGGACAACATTTGTTTCAACACACAGACAGAAATAGCCAAGAGTACAGGGTCTGTCACTGGTGGACTGTATTAAAATGTGTGAATTGTATGTTATTTTTATGACAACTTTGCGCAAAAATCGGGAAAATCTTTAATAAAAAATATTAACATATAACTAATTATTCACACAAATTTTTTTACGTGTTTCATATAAAAACATTTAACCTTACAACTGTAACAAGGGGGTAGAAATACTTATTGATTTTTAAAGATTATTAAAATCAAAACTTATTGTAAAAAGTGCTACAAATTCATGTGTGAGCCATATGTCCTCTACCTGCGCAGAGTGTCTTCAGCCTCAAGTGACAGATGGCGAAATCGAGTAAGCAGGTTTGGAAGGTAAAAGTTTTAAAAAAAAGGTTTTTTGTTCATTTATGTATGTTATAATACGATTTTAATTGGGTTATTCACACTCAGTTCACATTAAAGTTTTAAAAAAATGTTTTGGAGCAATAGCGTTATGTTATTCTGTCCTCAAATACAAATTTGGTAAGCTTTTATCATGGGGGTGTTACAGCTTACCCACGTTACAGCTGCAGGGTTAATTTTAAATTTTGTTAGATTTTTTCGGGGTCTTTTAAAACCACCAATAAATCTTATATTAAACGTGCTCATTTATCCTTTATTTAAAATACGTTATTTTTAGCGTTGAGTAATTTATAATCATTAGTCATATAAATAAACGAAACACTTTTACAAAATTCCTGATCTTACTTCAGACATTTTTAGATATTATTAAAAGCAAGAATACAAAATTAAAACACTGCAACTACTTTTAGAATGCTGCTTACAATAATTTATAATTATTATTTCTCACAAATTCTTCAAAACTCACATACCAAATTTTAAAGGGAATAACTTTACTCTGCTCTCACGTCTTTCAATTTTGACAATCAATGGACAACAGACAGACAGACAAAGTAGACAGATGCAGACAGATGTCTTGTTTTGCACCCGCTACGTCTTTCTGCACCGATGGCCGAAAAATCAAGCATAGGTGCGAAGTAAAGATATATAGAACATAGACCTGTTATATACTAGACGGAGCATCGCCATTCAAAACCGGGTGAAAAAGCGGCACAGGAATGAGCTGCAGGAGTTTGGGCATGAAATGGAACTGAATCCAGACTTTGGCGTACTATCGCCATGGCTGGCGATTTTTTCCTCTCTTTTCTCTCAGTTCGAAATGCGAACTTGGAAAGATGTCATTTCGCAGAAGCTGCCGTTGAATTTGCAGAAGAGGTTAGATCGATAAACACCAGCTAAAATTAATAATTTCCCTAAAATTGAACACTTTATTTTAAAATTTAACTTTATTTTAAATTTTTATTTTAAAATTTAAATAATTTTCATGCTGTAGAATAATATTTTGCAATATGTCCATCGCGTCTACAAAATTTAAAATAAAATAAAAAAAACTGGAGAGAACAATTAATAATAAACTAATAACTAAAATAATAAACTAAATAATAAATAATAAACTAATAACAAACTAATAAATAATAAAATAAATAAATAAAAAAGAAGGCTTTTTAGTACTTAAGACAGAATAAAAAATAAAAAATAGATAACATAAGAAGAATGAGTGAAAACAGAAAATAGTACAAAAAGGAAATTTAATATTAATACGAAAAGGAAATTTAATGTTAATACGTAAAGGAAATTTAATGTTAATACGGTGTATTACAGAGTAGGCAAATCAAAGTGAGAAAGATATTAAATAAAATGTCTATATAGCAGGAAAAAGGAAGAGAAAAATTAAAAGGAAGAGAGAGAGCGGTAAATAATTAAATTATGAAACAAAAAGGTGGTAAATTAAGACTCCCTTTTACTAGCAAATATATATATATTATGCACGTTGCACAATGTAGTCGCACTTATTTTAAATAATTTTAGAAGGTAAAATTTAAACAATGTTCATTATTTTAAAAAGAAACTTAAAAACTATTAAGTTTTGAAATTTAACTGCTATATAATTGCTATTTTCTTAATACTTAACAAATTCTTAATATTTGAATAAATGCCAGAAACCAAGATAAGAAGAAAGAAAATACGTGATTGAGGTAAACAAATTTGTTATATCTGGATGCAAGAAAACAAAGGGATAAAATAAAGTCATTCATGCCCCCCCCCAAAAAAAACATAATTTTATGCAGTTCTTACACAGTGTTACATCAACATACATTACTACTTCGCGCATGTCCGCATGAGCAAACGCATACAAAGAATATATAAACAAACGCATTCAAAGCAGTCTGTTGGCGTATAAAAAATGTCGCCAAAGCAGAATACTAGACTAATTAAAATTATATTGTATTACTAAAATTTTAACATTTTTTTTTTTTTTCAGAACACAGCTATTAGAAACATACATATATATTAAGATAACTTTATTTAAATGTTATTTCAAGTATGCATATATTATATAAAATTAGAAAATCATTTTTTATTAGAAAACGGCAAGTAGAGTGGATAAAAAAACCTCTACATTTTATAAAAGTTAGGTTTTTTAAAACATTAGAAAAAGCTCAGTTGTGAAATGTTACTCCTCCACCGTTCACATATATGGAATTACATCCATATGCGGAGCACGAAAGTATCATTTTTGAACTCCGAAACAATGCGCTTACACGCAAAACACAAATTTGTGCTTCTCACAAATTCTACATAGAACTGTAATGGTAAGGAAGATTCGCGGGAAATACGATCTGGGAAATGTTCCAAATGTCACGTGGTTCGCATTCCTGTTCCCCTTCAGGGTTGCCGTTTCTCTCTCTAGTACATTACAGCTCTATGATATAGAAAGTTGGCAATTTCAAGGTCCGTAAAAGAACACAGGGGAGGGGGCCAAGAGCGAAGCGCAGTGCAGGGAGAAAGTTACGCCACATGCGCATGACGTCATGTGGGTGACAGCGTTAGTTCTTGGCGTTTGTTTACTTTCGATGCATCAACATTTTGATTTTTTTTGTGTTGTTAATTTGCTATTATACCTAGGCGGAAGTGGCAAATTATGCTATAGCGTTGCGTCAGAATTATACAAGTTAATACGTTTTTTGGCGGAAAACACTCTTTACAACCAGATAAAATAACTATTTTTTTAATGAATTATGTAGTTTCCATACATAACTGTGATGAATTTTACATTATTTTTCATTTTACTGCTATTTACATTTAAATTGAAAAATTTTCATTTTAAATCATTTTTATCATAATCTTCATTTGTGCATGAGACTTACATCGTAGTGAGATATTTAAACTCAGTGTCATGTTTACCAATACTGAGTACCTGAATGATTAGTAATAAATTCGCGTATCCAACTTCATTCAATGTTTTGGTTACTTGTATTCCATGTATTGAAGCGGTAAATCTTTTAAAACTGCCTGATGCCTCACCGTGAGCAAAAACATTTCGACCACACTATGATGCAAAATTGTGAGAGTGACAGTGATTCCTTAGGGTTATTTACTGATGCATACAGGTACAGTCAGTCGGTCAAAAAGATTCGAATGGAACCCTATAAAAATGATGGCGTTTTTTTTTCTCTTTCTCTCTGTGTGTTGTGGTTTTCTGGGAAAAAAACTGGAAAAAAAATTGGTTACGATCTCTTTTTGAATGGGGATGACATTTTGAGGAGCTGACTATTTGGAGGGGACGCTTTCACTCTCTCTCTCTCTTGAATTGGGAAGCATTTGGGAAAAAGCATTTGGAAATGGAAATGAACGCCTCTCCTCTCTCTTGAATGGGAGCCATTTTGGGTATGGGGAGGGAGAAAACTGAAGTTCTCGGGGAGAAAGGAAGTTCTTTGAAGAGGAACTTTTAAATGAACGCTCTACACGATCTTTTTGAATTAGAGAAGTATTTTGGAACCTTCTAATGTTGGAAAACTGAAATGGACGCTCTACGCTTTTTCTTCTCTGTCTCTCTCTTGGGAGTTTTAGCCATTTGGAGGATCTCACCACCTCCTAAACCTTTTTTGGGCTCTCTCACCTCTCTCTCTCTCTTCTTTTTGAAATGGTCATTTCTCCCTTTGTAAAAAAAAAAGAAATGAACGTCTACACTCTCTTTGAGACCCCCATCTAAACTTGGGAAAAAAAAATGGATGTTCCCACTTTCTTTTTGGACATGGGTAATCCTGGGACCTCTCCTTGGTATATAAAAAAAAGGAACCAATCTCTCTTTTCCATATTTTTTTGGATCACCTTGCTGGAAAACTGAGTGCACCAAGATGGACTCTATATAATTTTTTTAATGGGTTTTGTTATTAAATTTTTTGTTTGTTTTTTGATGTGTTGAAATGCAATTCCGTCTTGAGGTGAAATTCCCGTCTGTAGTATGATTATTTTCTTCCCTTGTTTTTGCCATTTTTAAGTCATTCTTTTTGGGGGGGTGGATCTAGGCTTTTGGCCCCCTGTGATTCTGCCTCCATGATTTCTGGACCCGTTGGAACTTGTGGAACCCGGCTGACATTCTACCTCTACGATGTCGGGACTTTTTTTTGTGGACCCGTCTGACATTCTACCTCTACGATGTCGGGACAGGTTAGAGAAGAAGAAGAAGAAGAAGGGATACTGGAAGAGGTTCTGTCTGTGAGGAGTCCGAAAGAGGTTGCCTGTTTGAACAAGTCGGGGAAGAAGAAGAAGAAGAAGCTTCTGGATTCTGAAGCGGATCTTGCACGCCAGGTAGGTTCCGGTAAGTCGACCGTTTTTTAAGAGGTAATTTTTTTCTTCCTCCTCATCTTCAATTGTGATGACTTCAATTTCATTCCGTTGCCGGGTCGATTTTGTTTCGGGCCATGACGACGGTTTGGTCCAGCTCCTCTTATCATCTAAGGAAGGGATGGGTAAAGGTGGCGGAGGGTTTTCTTCTTCTTTTTCTTGAAACATCATCGGCGATTGGAAAGAAATCTCCTCTTTCAATTGTTTCCAAAGCGAGTACGAGCACCGATCGACGAGAAAGAGACTCTTCTGGGTTGTGACGATGAGATATTGCGTTTTCGGGGGAACGACATAGTTTTGAAAAGGTCTTAGAATATATTTCTTATATTTCATCCTGTCGCTGACTTTAAAACTTCTTTCCTTCAGATTGGGGGACGATGATTCGTAATAGGCGAGAGGAGCGGCTGTGGTTTGAACAATATGAACTTCGTCCTCAGCCGTCGTTCTCACTCCAAACGTAAAATATCGTTTCGTGAGAAAAATATTCTTCCACCGAAAACTCGTGCGCGGATCCGTATATCGCCGGTCTGTTTGAATGGGCCGTCTCAAAGCTCGATCCATCCGATTCCAAGAGAAGGGAGATTCCTCTTTCGTTTGTTGCGATTCGAATAAATTTCTGTATATATTCTGAACGAGCAGGTTGGAGGATTCGACATCTTGGTTGAAAGAAACGATCGCTTGATGAGGTGGTAAATGCGGAATAAATGTCGCACAATGACACGCCAAAAAAATTTTCAAGTTGGAGATTTGCTTTAGCGTCTTCAAATCCTCCCCGTTCGAAATCCGTTGAGTTGGAAAAACGTCTAATAGCGACATGGCTCCCAATGGAAAAGAAATGATCTCGCCCAGTACTCTCGTCTTTTTATATATCTATATAGACACACACAGACACACATAGAGGCTCTATGACGTCCGTTTTTTTTTGTTTTTTTTGTTTCTCTCTCTTCTTTCCAAGAAATCTTATCTCCATGACCTCTTTTTCTTTTCTTAAAAAGATGAATGTGTGTGGGAATGAGGAAGTGAAAGTAATAATTTAATAAACAAAAAATTATCCAACCATGACCTTCTTTTTTTTTCAAAGTCACCCTTTCCAATCCAAGGACGTCCAGAGATAGAGGAAGCAGGGAGAGAGGAGGAGGAGGAGGGAAGGGAAGGTCACACTCTCTTTCTCTCTATAAATAAAAGGGGAGAGCCCCAAAGTCGTATTTTTGTCCAAGTGGATCATGAGGAGGCATCCCCAGCTCACTACGTGTATTCCTTTCAAATA